CCGCTGTCTTTGTGTCGTCGCCACTTCGCTCTGTCTAGGGCATCTTCTGCTGTGGCCGTAACTTTTACTTAGGCGAACGTCCTTCCACCTCTTCTTTGGGGCACCTCGCGGTCGCTTGCCTTGCGCTTCGAAGTCCATTGCTTTCCTTATTGGGTGGTCCTGTGGCCTCCTTAGCACGTGCCCATACCATCGCAGACGCTGTTCCCGTACCTTCAGCTGGACAGGGGCAGTCTGCATGACCGCTCTGACATCCTCGTTTCTGACCCTGTCCAGTCGCGTCCAGCCGCAGGCCCATCTCAGCATCCTCATTTCGGCGGAGTGAAGCTGCCTTTCGTGGTTCTTGTTCAGGGGCCAGCACTCGCTGCCGTAGAGCATCGCAGGCCTTACCACTGTTCGGTACACCTTCCCTTTGAGCGTTCTGGAGCACCTTCGGTCGCAGAGGATTCCAGTGGATTCCCTCCATTTCATCCATGCCGCGTTGATCCTCCCCTTTACTGCCTGGTCCACACTGCCGTCGGCTGCCAGATCGCTCCCGAGGTATCTGAAGTCCTCCACTCTTTCGATGATCTCTCCATGGCCGTCTACGATCGGCTCTGCATCCTCTTCAGAGCTCAGGAACTTGGTCTTCTTGACATTCAGCCGGAGCCCCCTTCTGCCAGGACCTTCTGCCACTTCTGCACCTTGGCCTGTAGTTCTTCTCTGCTATCCGCTATCAGGGCGATGTCGTCAGCGTAGAGGATGGTCTTTAGTGGTCCTTCCATGAGCCCCTTCACCAGGACATCTAGTGTAGGAGGAAGAGGAACGGGCTCAGAGCTGACCCTTGGTGCACCCCAACCGTGATGTCCACTTCCTTCGTTAGGCCGTGTGGGGTGCGTATAGCTGCCTTCGCCCCATCGTACATGTCCTTCACCAGAGAGATCAGGTGTTCTGGCACATTCCGCTCCCTGAGCGCTCTCCATAGTACTGTTCGAGGTAGTCGGTCGAACGCCTTCTCCAGGTCGAGGAAGGCTAGGTAGCAGGGTCGGCGCTTTTCTCGGTACTTTTCCATCACTTGCCTCGCGATGAAGATGGCATCCGTAGTAGACCTTTCGGGCATGAACCCGAACTGTTCCTGGGAGATCGGGACCAGCTCCCGCAGTTTCGAGTCGACCAGTCGCTCGTACAGCTTCATTGTATGAGCAGTCAACTTGATCCCGCGGTAGCTGGAGCACGGATTTACATTGTTTGTTAAATGAATCATACGAGAATGTGAAATTCAGAACCTACTGTCCTTACAGAAGGGTCCAAAACTTTGGAAAGGGTCATATGATCTTCTCTTTCGCCTTCCTAGCGTCAACCGCGCAGGTGAAGAGTCTGCTATTATTATTAGATGTCGCATCGTAGCTGCTAGGGACATTCTTTCACGCCGTGACCCGACTTACAGGTAGTCCGCCTTTATGCGTCCTCCATCTGTTTCTCCAAATTATGCCACCAAAGTTTTGAGTGTTACTCGCTCCATCCGCTTCACGAACAATTAGCAATTATCAGGGTAACATCCGTTGCCAGCCTTCAAATTAAGTAGTAAGAGTAGTCCCTTTTCAATAAATAGCCCTACAACTATGATGTCAAATAAAGTTCCTATTTTTAGCTCACAAACCATGGCACGGTGGCGACAAATTCAAGATGAAAGAGAAGCTGAGCGAAATACACAGTACGTATGAACTACATTTTTTTCAAATTTCATTTCTTGGGAAATTTTTATCCTTCCTGTGAAAACAAACATATTCCAAAATGAAGTTGTCGATATTTTCCGGAGACTTTCCGCGCTACCCCTAAAGGAACAGTTTTCAGAGCCAAATCTGACCGACATCTGTGCAGTTGCGAATCCATGTAAAAACAACAGTACATGTATATTTGTTTGGAAGAAAAATACCCATTATTGCAAATGCCAAGGCGGGTTCACAGGAGTGAATTGCGACGAGAAAATCGGTAAGCGATCTAATCGTAAGAGCTCTCTTACGATTTGTGTTGTTTTACTTCATTTTTCATTCGTTGAAAATTTTTATCTAATAAAAAAGATTTTCGCCCCCCTTTCATTCAGAAAAAAACAAACACCGAAACTTCAAGATCAAAACATTTTACCCAGTCGAACATGCACTATATTACACAATATGACTTTCACATTCTTTGAGTGTTCTCTTCTTCAGGTGGTGTTTGTAGTATTTCGAACAATATTCCACATTGCAGACTTCGACCCCTGTGCTGAAGGTCCGTGTAAAAACGGTGCCACCTGCACAGCAAAGGTAGAAAATGGCAAGGCCAAATATGAATGTTACTGTGCTCCAGGCTACGGTGGACCGCAATGTGATCAACGTAAGTATAGGTTTATTCATCTACAGGTGGCAAATTTCTCATTTTATGTTGATAGTTTTATTTTCGGGGAGTTGGACAATCGGCTAGTACACTTATTTTGCTTTCTCGAGAACTTAAATATTTGCGTTATGAATTTGAAGTTCCTGGTACAAACCATTGTAGAAATCATAAATGAATTGCACTTTTAATTCTTTTACATTTTACATAAATTTCGTAAGAGCGGTGGCAGTGATAAGGAGATAACGCGACAGGTATCGTCGTAGATTTGCTCCTTCTGAGAGGTGATGAACCTTCATAATCGTAAGGCATATGAACAGAATCTTGCCTGTATGATGGCTCGAGGCGGAAAGTTTAAGTATAATTAGTGGAGCAAGTTTTTAAGGCCAGTCCGACATCATCTGACTGATCTTGTGGAATAGATTCTAAACTGCTCTGGACAGTACCCAATCCTTTGCTGACTCCCGGACCTTTTCATGGTAAGGGATGCCACCTACCACTACAAAGTTTCCAAATTATGAGGTTAATATACTCGAGTTTGAATAAATACAGGGGAGTTTGCCATACGTACTTTATCTCACACCAATTCTATAACGTAAAGCAATGGTACATATAGTTGAACCTCTCCAACTCAAATTGATAAACATATGGCCCATTATAGTGACAAATTTGTAAAAGTGCTAATGCTAAAGGAGTTGAATGAGGCTTACTGTGCAGTATGCCAACCTAGTGTGTCCAGTGTCAGTTAAAGTTCGGAAATGATATGAATAAATTTTATTAGGTTGTAGGGAAAGTTCTCGCGGTTTTTCGAAGCACGTTGAGCTCTGGTTGAGCAACTTTTTTGAATCGAAGCCAGAAAAGTTCTTTGCCGAAGGCATCAAAAGTCTGCCCGAAAAATGGCGAAGAGTGATAGAACGTGATGGTGATTACTTTGTTTCCTAATATGTTTTCTTGTTGATAAAAAATTAAGGTAATGATATGTGTCAAAAACCGCGAGAACTTTCCCTACAACCTATTAATTCCCCATCCTGACTAATAATCCCTGCAGCTATCTTCCGCGCACTTTAGCCATTGCTCCTACATGACCTGTCGAAAAATTGTTTTCAGGACCCTGTGATGTGAACCCCTGCCTACACAATGGCACTTGCCGAACGACCGCCGGTTACAGCTCGTACTTCTGCGATTGCAGGGACGGCTACGGAGGCAAAAACTGCGATATTGGTGAGTTTTATGGCAAATATGGTTTGTTTTTACTTCAACATCTTCATAAGGAACTAAAACAGCACTCAGAAGCGTGTTAAATTCCTTGTTACCAGTTTAATCGGTACAGTAGTTTGTAATATAGTTCCAGGAATCCCCCCATTATTTCGACTAATTCGTTCTCTTCGCAGACCTTACAGTTCCACCGTAAAATCACTATTACTATCATGCAAACTTGCCTCAGGGCCTACGCTGTGCACGCTCACTTCCTCATATGTGAAACTGTCGGTCTCTGAAAACGATGATTTACTCGAGATTTGACTATTGAAATAAATGGTCCACAAAAAATGTGCTCGACGCTGGACACCATCTTGTATGTGAGATATTCCTGAGTAAGGCATTCAGAAAGGCGTACTGTAATACAATCTGTCGACAGTCTTTTCCCTAGTTTCTAGTGGTCCATCAACTGTTCCGAGTAGTATTCACTGCACTTATTTTGTCAGGAATGACGTTCGGCTTTCCTAGTAGGTCCCGCCCACCTTTCGGATCCCACCTACGTTTCGTGGCCCTAAGGAACTGTACCCTACCCTGGCTATCTAAAGTAGGTTTTTTCAAGACAAGAAGGCAGTAGTGTAGATGATCTTTTCAGTGATCGGCTCGGCTCCTCCAGAAGAACATTATGGTGCCAATGTGCTGCTGGTTTCCAGTGGAAAAGCGGAATGGATCCAGCAGATGAAAGAACGTCTCGGTGCAGCTGGCGGTGCTCTGAAAACGACAACACTTGCACCTGTAGCCGACGCGCCGTATAAAAGTGAGTGAAAATAGGCATTTAGGGGCTCAATTTGTAAGGAGAGAGGCAGCAGTTGGTGCGACCTTCACATCGCTTGAAGCTACCCTTACGGGTTCCGCCGGGAAGAGTTCTAGGCAGGGTCAACCCTGCGTTGCGCAAAGAACAACGAGGGGGTCGTATTCAGCCGACCGAAAAGGGAGGGGGTCGTATCCACAAACGGGCTGCAAGACGGCTTGAAAAGTGCAGTGTCCGGGAGTGCACTTTCAGCCTCTAATGTTCTCCAGGAGCTCTGCACGCTGTCGGAGAGTCACACAGACATGAGCTCCATGGGAGCATTAAAGCATGCAGAGCACTATAAGTCTCACCATCAGCTTATTATCCTTAATCGACGCTATCCGGACGGCGCTTTTGCTCCGCGGCATAGATCAAGAGTACAATAGACAATAGCCAAAAACTTTGTTACAGTGTAGTGCAAAAACATGGTCTGTCTTCGATGATGAAACATTCCTGAAATCCCGAGGAGAACAAAGTGTAGAGCAGTTCATGGGAAAGTGAAACAAGAGTGCCATATAACAGCACAATACAACTCAATCAGGATACTAACACCTTCTTCAGGAAAACAGAAGACTTTCAAATGCGAGTGCGAATTCTGCCCACAGATAGGTGCACGGCGTATACCCGAGCGTTTTCCCATAAAAACGCCTCCTCTGTCAGCGGCCGTAAGCAGACAAACTTTCTGAAGAGAGTTTCGATGCTTTCAAATAAAATCTAAGCGAAACAAAGTGTAGCGAATTTGCTGAATTGAGTTCTAGAGACGCCGTAGGAAAATTGAGGCAGAAGAAGGAATTTCAGGGAAATTTCACAGTTGTTATGAAGTACTCTTCGAGTGGATTCCAACAATCTTTACCGCTTCTCATCACATTAATTTCAAAGGAAGTTATGGGCCTTTAAAGACTGCATAGTCGCGGTCCAGGAAAAAGGCTTGAAAAAAATCAAGGTGGAATTGACGGAACAACGGGACTATTTTTTGAGCGAGTGATTATTTCAAGAAGTTTTAGCACTTATTCGAAAGCTCTAATCCTCTAGTTTCTAATTAGCCTTAGACATCTGCAAAATGTTGAGTATGAAGAAAGTTATTAACGTTTGAATGTCGAAAACTCGCGCCTTCTCAAAAATCGGACCCCAAACCACCCAAGAACGGAACAACGGGACTATTTTTTGAAAAAATGATCGCTGGAAAATTTTCAGGTGCTTGTTCGAAAGCTCTAATCTTCTAGTTTCTAATTAGCCTTAGACATTTGCAAAAAGTTGATTATGAAGAAAGTTATGAATGTTTGAATGTCAAAAACTCGCGTGTGCACAGAAAACGGAACAACGGCACGATTTTTTGAAATACTGAACATCCACAACATTTCAAATACTCCTCAGGAAGAAAACTATTTATATTTTCAAAATTTTGGTGTCCGATTTCATGAAACAGCTTCTGAAAGAAAATATAACCTTCTGAATGAGGGGTTTGGATTGCAATGTAATTGCTACAAGGTTTAGTTTTTCAGATTATAAGGTAAGGAAAGTTGAGAGATCGAAAAAATCCTGGTGGGTTTCTGAAAGTAGAAATCTTTACGATTAAAATGATGTATTGGTTTACGCAAAAATTTGAAAATTCCTTCTATTTAATGAATAAAACTTCATTTGCCTCGATTTCCTCCTCTGAGCGAGACAGAGCGCGCGATTGACCACGGTCCACCACTTCCATGTTGGTGACTGCCATCATTGATGAGCATTGATGAGCATTAAATTATGTGAAAGACATGATAGTTAATATGGGGGGTCGTACCGATACCCCCCGAAAAGGAAGGGGGTCGTAAAAATTTGGGAATTTGCGCAACGCAGGGTTGACCCTGGTTCTTATCCTGCGAAAGCGAAATGGCTGTTCATTGCCACCACGGAAATTTCCTTCGCCGGGCAAAAGCTGTAATTCCTATATGCATCAGAAACTGGACCCGATGGCTGGTTCGAGACCAGGCATTAATTTAAGCACGCGTCAGCGACATCTTTCCACGTTAAGGTTCTGCCCTTTTGTGCCGCCACGTCCTTCCTAATCTCAAAGCTGCGATGTCAGCTCCCTTTACTGGATTCTATTCGTTGTTTACTTGTATCAGCCCACAAATGCATGAATAGTCGCTGAACTGGGAGCGGTGCTGGAGCCGACTGTAATCTACTTACCTAGCGTACCCATCTCTCTTCCTATTTAATTGTAGTAATAAGGCCCGCAATTCACATTCGCCTTTCGCTTTCCAAAAAACACTTCACATGAACACGGTTTTGTAGATGTCATAATTCTGCGCGCTTTGCACCGCCACGCGCCTTACCTTGAAAGAGCACCGTTATCCAACAGGCTGTTATGATTAATAAAAGGTGGGTCGTCTGCATCAAAGAAGGCTCCGACAGATCGGTTCATCTCATCGACTGGTCAAAAAAGCCCTTTGTTAACACCAAATGTCCTTTTACTTGAATCGCCAAACCGCCTCACGTAACCCATGGTCTCATTTATTCACTTTACGCATTGACATCCTTCAGTCCTGAAAAGACCCGGCAAGAATTCGCGATCGTGTCAAGCATAAAAAACCAAAAGAACCGAAAAATAGAGTAGATAAAAGGTCATGATAACGCGTTTCAGTTTTTAGTAGGTTTTTGGAGTGGCGTAGCTCCATATTTTTTAGGTTATAGCAATAACACGCAGAATATTCCCCCAGTCACTGCACTTTGCCAAACGAGTTTTGGCCACGCCTCCCTTGCGCTGGAACGCCCCTTGCCGTGTACAGTAAATTTTCATGAACGATGCATCGAAATGCTACTATTTGTAGGTCCAGCCGCGAAGAAACTCGAGCGTGAGGAGAGAGAAAAACAAGAAACAGAGCGCAGAGACAAGGAGAAGATGGAACAAGAAGAAAAGAAAAAGCAAGAGGAGCTGCTAATCGAACAGGAACGGCTTGAATCGGAGAAGCGCTTTAACGCAACTCCTCCAAACAGCTTCTCTACCGTTTTGGGTCTTTTTGTTCCTCTTAGTCTCTCGCTAGCCATTCATCTGATTTTATGGGATAGTCAACTGCTTTAGTGTCCACAGAGGGCTTCCATTTCCTAAATTCTTCCCAAAAGACTGGGCCCAAGATGGCTGGCTGGGCATACTATATCTTGAGAAAGACCCTCAAGATATAGTATGCCCAGCCAGCCAGAAAAATATCCCAGTATCTCGGTCGTTTGCCATGCAGTGGACACCCTGGCCGACATTCGGGGAAAAGCGTCGCAATTTGAGAGCAGAGCCTTGTGATCCCAACGAGCCCCTAAGTCGTTTTTGCATACAATGACATGCAATTAGTAGTTTTCCTAAGTCGTTGCGCTAAAATTTAGGTCTTTTTTCTTAGACGGTTGCGGTAACGACCTGAATAAGGCACTCTGCGGTGGGGCCGAGCATCGATAGAAAGTCCACTTTGGAGGGTGGCCCAGACGTGCTCCGCTCACATCCCTGCCCCACTACTTCTTCCTAAATAGCCCTTTTATGACCCTGAAACTTTTATGACCCATAATCGAACCGTTTCTGATAGTTTGCTTAACTTCCACGTTTCTTACACACTAGCAAAAAAATGGCCCCCTGCTACATGAGCGCAAGTTGAGCTCGAAACCGAATGCTTTACATCTACTCGTAGAATCAGTGAAGCCTGGATATGAAGGCACGGTTGCAGCAGAGGACTGTTCGAGAGCGTTGTTAAATTACGCATTTATTGTTGTTTTTGTTTGGTTTTGTTAATAAACTTGTGAGTGAAATGTAAACGGCGGATAATTACTTGCTCAACCTAATAATAATACTTTGCGGCTTCATAGTTTCGCCCTTGTGGTGATAGGTGACCATTGTTCATGCTGTGTAGTATTCATTA